AGAGCAGTGCTGTTGGATCACTGTCACATCGTTGCACCAGCTACTGTGTAACAGTATATTTTACAAATATAGAGCAAATCGAAAAGCAGCACAGTTGCAGCTGCCAAATGCAAGGAGGACAGCTGGCAAAGAATCTATGACAGTGTGAATGCTTAAATTGAAGGGCTTATAATATCACTGCCCTTTCATTATTAAACAAATAGATCTGACTATAATTACATTTGTGTATTCCATTAAAATGTGTTACAGCATTGTCAGGGAACGCTAAAGGCCTTTGCTGGTCTCTGAACAGTGAGACGACCACTCAGGGTCTTCTCATTGATGTAATATATCCATGAGATCTTCTACAAAGGCTTATGCCATTTTTCAAGATATTTGATTGGTCAGGAAGTGGTGCTTTGGTTTTCTGATCTCTTATCTCAAACATAGCCTGCTCCAGCGCAGGTTAGGTGTGGACTTGGACTGCAGCATAATTATGTTATGATGAGAAGATAAAGATATAAAGATATAAGAAGAGAACAGCTATCACTGAAAACCAAATGTTACTCCTGAATTTACCTGGCTAACCCCAAATCCTGATTCATACTACAGACCTCTGGTACTTAGACAACACAGTTCTACCTGTTGCCAGGGATGGGTGATGACATTTAAAATAAAATCCAAATGCTGTTGTTGGTCTTTGTTACATTTAGCACTAAAAAGGCTTCTCGTCACCAAACTAAGGGTCACTGTACCTGTGTCTTCTTAAAACTTAAAAATGTGATGTGATTTCAAATTCACTGTGTACATGATGTATAAGAGAGGAGAGAGAACAGAGGAGAGAGTCCTGGTCAGAGCCATTGATGTGATAATAATTCATCCATTCTGTCCTTAATCCTTGTTTCTCTCCAGATATTTGACGGCCCCAGTGTTCATTACTACCCCATCGGGACTTTCTGTGGTCTGTCCCTGCCCCCTCCCATAACAAGTTCTGCAAGCAGTGTCACCCTGCAGTTCCAGTCGGATTCAGTGGTGGGTGGACGAGGCTTCCTTGTGGAATGGACTGCTGTCCAGGATTCTGGACCACCACCCACTATCACACCAGGTCAGACAAAAGCATTAGACCCTTTGAGTCCTTTTTCATAAACAGCACAACATATAAAACTTGCATACTAGATACTACTGAACCAGAATTAGAGGCAGATTACAAGGAAGATGGCACAATATGCCTTTAATCGTTGTAAAACTAAAAGTTGATAGATTTATGGGCGCTTCGATCTATTTATCATCATTCATTCATTAATGTATCATACAATTTCTGCCAATGGACATACAGAGGATCAACGGTACAAAATATAATTCAATCAAGTTGATCCATTGATTTGGAAATGTAGTCCATCTCTAACAATCAAATGTACTCTTATAATTTCATGGGTTGTTAAAGGTTGAGTGTGTAATGTTTAGGAGGATCTATTGTCAGAAAGGGAACATAATATTATAATATATATATGTGTATATTTACATATACCTATATATATGTAAATATGCATACGTACATATTCCAAACACCCAGTGCTACCAACAAAACAAAACAACAGTAACATAAAAAACAAACAAAAAAACCCCGCAATAATACACATGCACATACATATACATATACATATACATACGTACACATAAACACATAAGCATTTCACCTCTAAAATGTACCCATTCAGTTGAGTCTACGCTTGTTTTCCTAGGCTCTTCCTCCGTTAATTAGTGTGACTCTAAATTTTGTAAATTTTATTCTATAAATGTCAGTCATGGGCTTAGAGCTCATCCACTTCAACCACCTTCTTTTATACTTTACTTCTTAATTTCTCACTCTCTATGTTATGCATTCCATCTCTGAGATTTCCTTTATTGTTTCTCTCCATCTCTGGACTGATGGGCATACTGGTTTTAGCCAGTTCTTGGTTATTTGCTTCAAGGCTGCTATTCTGAGTATTCTGTATAGGTACTGGTCTGTTTCCTGTGTGAGCCCAATTGGTGATTTTCCCAGAATAATATCTGTTGAGTTACATGTTTTTTCCCAAAAGAAAAACCCATTATATTTCTTGTCACTGAATACCCAACGTATTTCAAAACAGGGCAGGAAAAAAATTGTGCGAATACTTTGTATTTGTCTTACCACATTTTCTCCAACAATCCGCTCTCACCACTGGATTAATTTTTGAAGGAACTTTGGCAGGAATAAAAAATCTTGTGTGTAATTTCCATACAAATTCCCTCCACTCTTCTTTACTCCACTGATCTCCTAATTTTAAAATCAATTTTTGTTAAATGCTATTATTTGTGTCCATGTTTTTTTATGATTGCATGTCTTTACTAGTTTGTTTTTTAATTTTGACAAATAGGTCTGCAAATATTTATAAAAGTTATAAAACTTTGTATTAGTTCATATCTAGTAGCTAAAGACTTACAAGAAATTACAGTATTGTTAATCAGCATTTGTGAATATGTTTTTTAAACCTTTTGATGCCCATTACTGTAGTATATTATCTGTTTTGTTTGGTTGAAATTTAGGGTCCTCTGCCATTACTCAAAAGTAAACCAAGTCATTATTTGTTTTCTGGTTTTTACATATATTTTCCTAACTTGGAAAGTGTTGTCTACCCACCTGTTTAATCCTTTAACTTGAGGTGATCCTCTTAGCTTCTGCTTTTTTTTTTTTTTAATTTTCTCTTTATTTGAAAAAGCAACATTACAAGTACAGTTGCATACAATTTACTACAACATTACGTCTTTTGCTTTTCCCATTTTCCATTTTTAAGTAAACAGAACAGAGTTGAACTAGGGAGCTTACTGACTGATTATCTTAATGACACACACATTATATACACAAAAAAAGGTGAAAGCTGGGGATAAATTGACACTTTGGTGAATAGGCTTGCACTATAGAAATAAGTAACATTCAAGGCTGAGTCAAATAAAGGGATTATGTTATCCTTCAATACAGATGCAGTTAAATGAAGTCTGATCGGACAGGTTTTACATACTCCATCCATTTAGTCCAGATCTGATAGAACTTTTCTGTTTGCACTTTAAGAGAAAATGGCAGTTTTTCCATAATGTATATACCATAAACAACATCAATCCATTCCTCAATGGTGGGTGGTTCTACCCTTAACCATTTTTTTGTTATTGTTTTTTGCTTGCTGTCAGTAGTATACAAAGTAATTTTTTGTCGTTAGTTTTTCAATTGTCAAAATTTCAGCCAGATATATCGTTTCCCACTGGAAAGGGATCTTGGTGCCAAATATATTGTTTATTTATGTATGTATCTCTTTCCAGTAGGTGTGTATGACCTTACAATTCCAGGAAATTTGGAAGTCATTGGCTTCTGTAGAACCGCAGGATCTCCAACAGGCATCCCCTAAACCCTGATGTCGTTTTTGTGTTGGCGTGACAAAAAATCTCATAACACTTTTCCAACCAAACTCTCGCCACGTATTTGACCCTGTTGAGATCAACTATAGCTGGCATGTTTTCTCCCAACTTTCCATAGGAATTATTACACTTGCTTCTTTTTCCCACTTTTTCTTTATGTATTCTGTGTTCTCTTGTTTGGACTGTTGGACGCCATTGCATAGTCTAGATATTATTTTGGTGCAAATTCTTGTCTCAAAGAATGATAAGAACACCTGCAGGAATTTGGGTCCACTTTTCACAGAAGCCTCTTTCAGGTTCTGGTTAAAATAATGCCTAACTTGCAAGTATCTATAAAAATCATCTTTTCCCAGACCATGTTTTTTCTGTAGATCTTCAAACTTCTGAAATCCCCCCTTGAGGGTAAATTAATAATAGGTAGTTAACCCCTTAGAGGACCAGGTCTTAAATCTACCATCACTTTTATTGGGTGCAAAATCTGAGTCATAGGCACCTCAGGAGTTTGGATGAATCGCCCAGTCTGCAGAGTTTGGCTGTTTCCTGCCAGGACTTCAAAAGAACAGCAAGCATAGGATAATCTGAGACCATCAGTTCACCCTGTAGTTTATTATCTGCCAATAGGGCTGTTATTGGAATATCTTCTACCATCGTGCCTTCTATGTCTTTCCATCCTGCCGAGTATGTTGGTGAGCATAGACAAGCCAATGGGTTCAGCTGAGCTGCATAGTAGTATTCCTGGAGACAGGGAAGGCCCAATCCACCTTCTTCTTTTCTTAATTGCAAGGTTTTATATTTTACTCTAGCCCTTTTCCCTTGCCATATGTATCTTGATATTGACCTGTCCCAAATTAAAAATGGTTTTGGTTTCCACAGGCAGGCATTGAAAAAAAATAAAGTAATCATGGAAGGATATTCATCCTAATTGACTCAATCCTGGAACTCAAACTCAGAAAAGGGATCAGGGATAATTCCCTCTGTGTCTCTGGTGTTTCCAGCGGATCCTATAGAGAGCTTCTACTGATGGCATATGTGACCAGAGAAGGAGAGCAAAAAACAAAACAAATAAACAGAAAGACTAAAAGTACTAGAGAGCGCAGTACCGAGGTGACTGTCCGTGACACCATCTTGTTATCAATGTGTGTATTCCATTGGCCTCAGTGATGGACAGGCACATCCCTGACTGTCATACTTTTTTTGGCATCGCATGAATGAATGAAATGTTTTTTTTTTCTGTGTACATCAGGTGCATGTGGTGGAGTGCTAATGACAGGAGAGAACCCCAGCTTCCTCTATTCTCCTGGCTGGCCTGAAAACTACCCTCATAACCAGGAGTGTACATGGTTGATACGTTCTCCAGACTCAACTGTAGAGTTTAACCTCTTGTTTCTGGACATGGAGGACTACCCCACCTGCTACTTTGACAGCCTTGTCATCAGAGATGGTAAGCCATAAAACCCAGCAGGTTTAAAGACAGTTAAAATAACAAAACTTTTTGCACTCAGGTAGCTGTTGATGTGGTATTTAGTGTCATTTCGAATTTTGTCCAAATATGTTTTTTCACTACTCCTCTTCCTTTAAGCAATCAGAATGAAATTGGTTACACAACATTTATGGACCAATCCTAAAAAAACATTTTGGCGGGATTTCTGATGTTTCATATAGATTTGAAATTATACATTTTAAACCTGTGCCTTAAAGTTACATTTTAAATTAAAGCTGCAAGCAGCATTGGGCGGGACCTCGCCATCAACCTTAGTCGGGGCCGACTTCCTGTGGGGTTTGGGGCATGGGTCCAAGAGGCTTTTTTGTACGTCTCGGCACCTTACACGTGCCTACCGAGTTTCATACATATCGGTGAAACGTGGCGCCGGGGCTGCTTTGTTGAAATACTGTAGGGGGCGCTACAAACACGACAAACACGATTTTTGGTATGTGAGCTACAGGCACCAGTCTACACGTGTCCTGTGAATTTCATATTCATAACTATTACGGTCTCCGCAGAGTGATTTACCCTGCCACCAGAGCGCCACCCAGTCCTTTTTAAATGAACCTTAACATGAAATGCTCGATTTCTTGTTTTGACGAAAAATCTACAGGAAAGTGCATACATTTTATAACGTGCTTATTTTTTTGAAATATCCATATTTTCCAAATTTAAGTTAATTGATTAATTTAATTTATTATCACCATAAAAAGTTTCGTGTGAATTGCATAGGAGTAACAACGAAAAAAAAAGTAGTTTTATGGGGACCATTTTCAGGCGTCTAGCAAAAAAAATTATAGGCGGAAATGGGCATGGCCTATATGGGGGAGATTGCAGCTCCATTCACTGACGTGTGGATATAAGGTTTCTTGAATGGTGCGACAAAAACAGGGTGCAGGAGTTATTAGGCTAAACGCACTTTTCTAATAGTAGCGCCACTTAGTTGGCGACCCGAAAGCGACGCATAGAATATGCTAAAATTCAATTAACTTGCTTATCTCAAAATTCTTTGTTTTATGTTGCATATGCTACCAAAAATTGACACAGACATTTTATTGGATTCAAATATGTTTTCACATTGTTTCAAAATGAAGGAATATTATATCATATTATATATACAGATAGCCCCAACATAACTTCATTTATTTAAACCTTTTCACACATAGCTTTTGCAGGCATTTTTGATTTGGTCAGCAACATTCAAACATTAAAATGAAATCTTAAATTAAATTGTACTCAGCTTTTATGTTTTTCATTCCATTGAGATTAAAAAACTCTTACTCACATTCTTAGGTTCTAGTTTTTTGCTTTCCTCAATCAGCCAATATCTGATAAGGCCCCCTCTCACTCCAAGCTTTGAACCTTTCAGGGTTTCATGCACAATTCTGCACATATTCTTCCCTGTTATTTTAAAACACAAACAATTAAACAAAAACATGATTTTGAGTGAAGATTTATTCACTTTCACTCTACACAACAAATGGATTTTATGATATTACATATGATTCTGAAATTTACATGTTTTAACCTGTGGCCTTTAAGTTCAATTTTACAAAACAACTCAATAAATTAAAATTTGACTTAAGCTACTATAACTTAAACATTTTAATGGGGGTTTGTTATGATAAGATAAGATAAGATATTCCTTTAATAGGCTCCACAATGGGGAAATTCCAATCTTACAGCAGGCCAAAGTGGATAGAGAAAAAAAAACAGTATAAAGACAGTATAAGAACAGTATGAAAAAATAAATATAATATAATATAAACACTGTACAAGAGAAAAAAAAACAGTAAAAAACCACAACGATAACACAATTAACACAAAATACTAGCAACTATTGCATTTTGTTATAGGTAGGTCGCTGAGTAGTTACTACCCACAGTATGGCTGGTGCGGTTTGTAAAGCGGCTCACAATTTTGTCACATTTAGGCTTCAAACAAAATGTTTTAAAAAACTTGGTATGAAATTTTTGAGGGTCACTTTTTTGCACATTTACATTTATTTGGCCAACTTAGAGATATTTTAAATAGTTAAATCCAAAATATAAATGTTACACTAAATGTTAAATCTAAATGCTAAAATCTAAATCTTAAATTTAAATCTAAATCTAAATCTAAATCTTAAAATCTAAATGTTAAATTTAAATCTAAATCTAAATGTTCAATCTAAATGTTAAATTAAATTCTAAAATCGAAATGTTTAAATCGAAATGTTTAAATCTAAATCTAAATGTTAATCGAAAATCTAAAATCGAAATGTTAAATCGAAATGTTTAAATCGAAAATAAATTCTAACAATTCCACTTCTGTTTGCTTTGGTGTGTTTCACAGGTGCAAGCAGTCTATCGCCCGTGCTGGGCTAATGTGGTAGGTTGGTCGGGAACCTGCCAGGCTCTTTTCCACTCAACAGGAGGAATCTTTG